TTGTTTCAGACCGGGTCAGACATCTGTGGATTCTTTCAAGATGCTCAGTATGAGATGTGTGTTCGCTGGATGCAGCTGGGTGCCTTTTACCCCTTCTCCAGGAACCACAACACCATTGGGACCAGAGTATGAGTCAGCCTCTTCACCTCTCTTCTGCAACTGAAATTGCCACCTCGGTTTCTCTGTATATTCCTGCTGTCTTTTTTCTCTGAGACATCTTCCAAACCATTAAGTCCTCTTTTTATAAACAATATTCTTTAATACTTATTTTAGTGATTTTTTGGATAGAAACTCTTCTACTGTATTCCATGAAAAACATTTTAAGATTTTTAAAAAAATTTCTGATAGAATTTTGCTGAGAATTTTTTCCCAGTCCATTATTATTATTGTAGAAATATCTTCCATAATTATATTTAGTATATGGCTTTTTAGTGTTGTAATATGCAGTTTCAGTTAGCCTAGGGTGACCTTGAATTCTGAAATGTGTTGGGTGGGCTTTAAAAACTTTACTTTTTCTGCTTTAGAGACAAGATCCAGTATCCTGGGATAAAAACTTTGAGGATATTTCCAGAAGTGTGCTGGAGACCAGATACACGCTGTTGCCTTATCTCTACACCTTGATGTACAAGGCCCACAAGGAGGGCAGCACAGTTGTGCGGCCTCTTCTCCATGAGTAAGTATTGAGCAGGAATCCTGTTCTTCATTGGGCAATTTACTTATCATGTTAGGTGGAGGTGGTTCCAGTCAGTTTTCCAGATTGAGGCAGTAAGTCAACTTTTGTATGAATGCTCCAGACAGAGGATCTTTATTGCTCCTTTTAATACAGTATTGTACATAATGCTTGTATTGGGCATAAGGCATTTATTGAACTCAGGAAAGGAAACCACTCAGCACAAGATTTTTTTTCTTTTGTGGCCCTACAAAGACTTTCCTATTTGGTGTTGGAGTTTTGTTATATAGACCCTAACCAGAGTGAGTTTGTATAACCTAAGTGGACATTCCTGAGAGAGATGACAGGTCAAAGATTCTTCTTTGCATTACAGTGTGGAAATGAAAGATGCTTTGTAGCAGATAATGTTTTTCTGAAGTTTGATGAATATGCCATGTAGGACATTGGTTCTATGAAATCCTTATCCTTCTTGTAATATATAAAGAAGGCAGAGGCTCTAGGTAGATTTCTGGGGTTTTTACAGGAGCACTTCTTCAGGAACCTGCTCTCAGGCCACACTGGGTTCACATTGGTGCCTTTCTTTTCCCTTTCAGATTTCTGGCAGACCGGGAGACCTGGAACATAGACAAACAGTTCCTGCTGGGTCCAGCCTTCTTAGTCAGCCCTGTGCTGGAGCTTGTGAGTATGGACACCTTAGGGGTCAAGGATTCCACTAACTGGCTGGATGAGTGGAGTGACATGGAGTTTGGGAGAGAGGGTTCTTGAGAGATGGTTTCTTACTCTACATTTGCATCTTCTCATCTTTCTGAGCTAAATTCCACATATAGTTTTTTTACCTTTAAAGCTTTTAATGCCACCCTAACAATTTTGTTTTCAGGACAGTTTAGAGGAAGAATAACCTTGTCCAGTATTTAAGAATATAATTACTTCTCTATGAGCTAAGCTAAAGCACGGAGAGAAACGTGTAGGGAATATAATGATTCCTTATTTTCTGTATTCTTAACTAAAATTAACTGGAGAAACAATTACAGCAATATGTATCATCTTTTCTTTTTTTGCCTTTAATTAATTCTCTGTTTTTGAGGTTACAATATAATTATGTTATTACCCTATCCCTTTGTGTCTTCTATTGATACTAATTAGTTTCCCTCTTCCTTCTGTACATGGTCTTGAAGCCAGAAATTAAGTTACTTTCTCAGTATAGTGTGGTTTTTTTTTATAAATAAAACAAATAAATAATTAAGCGATCCTCCATCTTTTTGAGCCTGAATAATTTTCTTCTGCTCTATAGTCATTGTCATTTCTTCAGGAAGGAGATGAATATATCTATAAGAGAATGGTTATTGTTATTATCTGAAGTCCTGTAACCGAAGGAGCATTTTGAAAGCACATTTTTTTTTTTAGGGTAATTTCTGTTGTTGGAAAAGGAGCATCATTTTTGTCCCCATCAGACAGATGATGTAGTTTTGTCTAAATATATTAGCCTTGCTAACATTTTAACTTCTCCCCAATGTATAGTGGTCACTGTGTCTTCGATAGCCGAGTCCACTTCCTATGCTTTCTTTCTATTTAATTACAGAATGCCAGAAACGTCACTGCATATTTCCCTAAAGGCCAGTGGTATGATTATTACACGGTAAGTTTTTTCTTATATTTATGCAGTCCAGAAGGTGGTAGCACACAGAGTGTCTGGGTATGATAGCCGTCAAGCTTAGTGCCACTTCTGAAAATCACCCTGTTTGGTCTAGATTGACCACTTTATCTTTGTGGCCTGATTTCATAACTTCTGAGCATAACCAGTTACCCTTCATGCAAGCCTTCCGAAGGGACACACAGAGCATCTCATTGGTGCCAGGCTTGCTAAGAATCTTTTTTATACGTGAATCTATAGCTTTGTGTTAATATCATTATAGTGCAGAGACAACAGTAGTTTTTTTGGAATCATGCTACAGGTGTTTATAGATGTTCTTAATTGTAGAGATCTCTTCCTTTCTGCATTTTATCAAGCAAAGTCTCTGGAGCTGGAGACCTGGCCCATTGTTGTGTGGTGCTACGTATAGGCCTAGTGACTGGAGTTTGACTAAGAGTTTTCTTTTAATCTACACAATAAATAAATAATTTCAGTGTCTGTAGTTTGTAAGCTTAGAGGAATTTCTCTGTGTCACCATCAAAGATCAATAATTATGAGACATATATAAATATATGAAACACATAGCCACACATAGTGCAGGACTTGGATGTCTGAGCTGTTTACATGAACTTGCTAATGAGAAGCCAACAGAAGCTCTCTATGACGCATGCCTGGGCCAGCACAAGCTAAGAGTGCACCTGAAAAGTTTGTTCTCCTCTCACAAAGCCCTTTCTTCATGGTATAAGGAGAAGAAAGTATCAGACAGACAAAAGTCAGATCATGTGTCAGCACCTTGGTTCACAACCCAAGTGGATTGCAGTGGGTTTGGGTGCAGGATGGATGAGGAAAAAGATGAATTTCTTCCTCCTCTCTGTCCTGGGAGGACCTAGTCACTCCTTCATGGTTTTTTTGTTTGTTTGTTTGTTTGTTTTGTTTGTTGGCTTTGTTTTTTTGTTTTTTATTTTTTGTTTATTTTTTGGGCTTTTTTTGCTATTGTTTACTTCTGCCTTTAGGGTAGGGATGTTCTAGGTCTGTCTTAGTAGTTAACAGTCAGGTTAAATGACTCTTACATTGCCTTCGTTTGACTGTGCTGTTGATTGCCTTCTACCCTAACCATGACACCTTATGGATATTTTGGAGGTATCTGATATAGGGCCTGGACTAGAATTAAGTAGGGATAATCTGAGGACACACAAATTAAAATGGTCCTGTATTGTAAGGCTGGCCCTTCCTACACGTGGCCTTGAGAATATAAACCATGTTTAAGATTGTCTCATAGCCTTCTTGCTAGCCTATTCTAGTGCTGACCATGCCAAGTTAAATGCATTTTGTTGAGCACTTGGTGTATTAGTATGAATACACAGCCTTACAAAGCTTAGCATAGAATAAGTAGCTAATGTCTGTTTGCCTTAAATACTGGCATATAAGTCAATGATTGAATGTACCACATTTCAAAAGTGAAGAATGAAGGTTAACGAGGAAAAGTTTCATAAATGCCTAATTTTACTAATGGTGTTAAAATAAAAGGCAGTATCAGAAAAAGAGGAGGTAACTGCCATGGCCTCCAAAGCCAAAAGTGAGCTGAGCAAGCTTTACAGAGGAAAAAACAACCTGCATCACTTATTTTTATATTTTTAATGTATTGAAACACAGCTAGATGTAACCTATATGAATACTCCTCAACTCTAAAGCAACAATGTTAAAATACCCAGCAGGGGACAATTGTAATGTCCCTGGTCATTTTAGGATAGAGTAATGGGGCTGCTAGTGCCTTCTAGTGAACAGATACCAACACTGCTGCTCTACATCCAAAAGCCACTCTTGTGAGAACAGCCTCACAAGAAAGAATTATCTATCACTAGGTTTCAAAGGAATCCATATCAAGGAGAAGGACGCCCTACTGTATTTGAGGCAGTGTAGGAAGGTTTGAGGTGATGTGTCAGGTCAGGCTGTACCTTACAGAAGAGAGACAAGATAAAAGTGTGAATAAGGGAAGCAAATTTGGGTAGATTTTGATTGGGATATGTAAACA